TGCGTGATTCTCATCAAACCCTTCTAAAACTATTGCATAGTTGGAAAGAGTTACAGTACGACTTAACTTTTCCCAAATGATCTCTCATCCCTCCGTCGAGATAGTGCTCCATCCTGCAATAATTTCAAATATTAAAACATATACAAAAGATTACGAATAAAACATAATTTCTTAAAATTCAACCACCAAATTATATGTTACTGTACGCAAAAAATAAATTCGTTTCACCGCATATTAAAAAAATGGAATTAAAGTAAAAAGTAAATCAAAACAGACAAAATAATTTTAAGTGAAGTAAAATAACAAAAAATAAATAACAAAAATAATTCAAAAATCGAAATTGAGGAAAAAAGGAAATTAAGGAGAAATAAAAATTAATATAAAAATTAAATCAAAAAATTAAATTATATAAAAAAAGAACAAAAATAAAATTAAAAATTAATAAACTAATAAAAATAAAATTAAACAAAAAATGGTAATTATAAAATAGAACAAAATCTAAAATGAAAGAAATATCAATGAATTATAAATATATAAATTAATGAAAAAATAAAAAAGAAATTAAAATAAAATATAAGATTTAAAATTGAAAAAAGAAAATTATAGTAAAAAATGAAAATGTAAATGAAAAAACATTAAAAAAATTTAAATTTAAATAAAAATAAAATAAAATGGAGGTTGGGCCATCCCAGACGGTCCAATAACGGACCCCGAATGTCTAGGTCTATTTATTTTGATATGATGGCGGAGCTGCTGAAAATCGTTATTTCGGTGAACTCTGCCACGAAAGCTGATATTCAACCATAAATTTGTTTGGGTCACTTTATTTTGATATCGACGGAGTTGTTGAACTTCGTCATTTTCTACAAGCTCCACCACAAAAACCGATTCAACCATAAATTCACAATAAAACTCGATTTTTCTTTCATTTAATCTTAAATTAATCTCAATACTTTGCTAAACTCATAAATAACAAGATTTATTGATATTTCATATAAAAATCAAATCTCTAAATTAACATTTCATAAGACAATGAAAGACTAAGATTTAAAACAAAAACTAACATTGTCAAAGGTAGAAGATGAACAGTTGTCGTCAATTGGGTCCGAAATGAGTGAGCCCGCTTTTTTTCCCTCTCCTTTCTCTCTTCTTTTCAAAGGGTATTTTGTCCTTTTGTATGTTTTGAAAATTTTTCATGTTTCACCTTTTTCGGTTCAAAATTGATCAAAGCACATTGTGAAAAATAGGTCGGGTCAAGGCTACCAAATCCTCAATAAAGACTGGGTCGCCCTTATTGGACTTTGGGGTTTTAGGTTGCGGGTACAATTTCGTAGAGAATTTTGGGTTCATAGGAAAATTGACTTGAAGAGCACTATTTGGTGCTAAATGTAAATGTGTCATTCTTTTTATCAATTTTGAGTTTATGCTCACTTTTGTACAATAAAAAAGATAAATGTTTTCTCCTAATAAAATATGAAGTATATATATTTTACCTTGCTCTATGATCTCCTAATGTTAAGGTGCACAATTAGTTCAATACTCTCTCATTTCCTTTCTTTAGTAAGTTTGTGTTCATCAAGGAGATTATAACGAGTGGAGTTATAATTTCACGAAATTTGGACATAGAAATTATAATGTGTAGTTAAAATTAAAATTTAACAGGAAAAAAATAAGTAATTTATAATGTTTCTTAAACATAGGTTTGTCAACTAGAATTTAGTAAAATCTTGAGGCTTATTATAACAATATTTTGGTCCATTTGATATGTCTTCTGTTGCCGTTTTATATAGAAGAGTTTTACAAGAAAGTCAAATTGACCTAAATTCTAATCTAAATAAAAGTCAACAATAAATTTTGATCACGAATTTTATGGGATCCAAAATTTTTTAACACACATTTCATCAATTTTGATCAAAATCTATTAAAAATTTAATTTTATTCCATACCAAACCGGGACAAATTAACAAAACATCTTCATTTGTTCTGCACTAGTAATGGTTTGTGTTGTCTATTATATTACAATTACGAATAATAGACGATAAAAGTTATTACTATGATATTAAAATAATAATTATTAAACCACGATAACATCTATTTAAAGGATTAATTCCATTATCGCTCATTAGAGATCAATTATTGACACCAACATAGTCATATCCATGTATAATTTTTATTGTGGATAATTTAGCCTCTGTTTAACCCCATTTACTAAAATTCATATTTTTTTCAACTTATTTTTAATTACATATTTCGTGAGATTCACAACTTCTATCAGCTTTATATTTCACCAATTTTTGTCTAAATCTTCACAAGTTATCAAAACTTATGCTGACCAGAAAGTCAAAATGTAAAAGTCTGAAAAATCAACAACTCACCTAGGCAAACGGTACTCTCAAAGCTACGGACGTTGGGGGTCCAAACCCACGTTATGATGTATCTCAGGTGAAGACTGTTAAAGTTCCACGCCATTGGAATAAATAGACAAATCTTAAAAATCTATTATATTTAATCACTAAACGAATATAATTAAAATAACCAATCCGCCAATAAAAATATTAGTTCTTTTTTGAACCCCATTCTTCAAATATAGCTGCTCAGGGAGGTAAATCGCAGGATGTGCCCTTGTTGGTTCCCAAGTTCCCACATGGCTTTTACTCCTTCCCCAAAGGAAGTCTCCTCCATGGTGATTAATCCACCAATAATTCCTCCTTTTTTGGATCAAAGGTTCCCACCAGGAATCGAACTCCCCACGCTTGGTTCCAGAGCCCCCCAATGTGATTGTTCCGCCAACTTGGATGTGCCCTGGGGGCTCTCTCTATTAGATAACTTATTTTTATTTTGGGTTGTGATTATGATGTCCATAATGTACACCAATCATTATTCTTTTTTTTTTATTATTAAAAAGAGACTCAAATACACGCCAAATGCAATGAACGTAGTGTTTCACCCTAAATCTAAATGCATTATTTCTGAATGCCACGTGAAACACGGCTGTTAGTATTTAATTAATGCAACCTACAAAATGATGTGATTTATATAACTTAGGCGATAAATTAAACTATACGTTGGTAACTAAGATGTCCAAATTTTACTCTTTTTTTTTTTTTTTTTAATATAGACAAATTACGCTACATTGGTCGGTGAATGCCCAAATTTAGACAAAATTATGCTACATACTCCAAGAGAGGCTCTCCATTTTGCTCTTCTTATAAAAAGACTTCATCAAGATTATTTAGCACTGAGAGTATCTTCAAGAGATTCTATTTTTGAACAGCATATTTTATAATTTAGTTAGCATCTATAGATTCAGAGTGTAAAAATTTGTAGGTACTCTAATAGGTTCTTTATATTTAATACTTACTCATTATTTGAGCCCCGTTGTTTTAAAAATTCATTTTTTCAAAACGTATTTTTTACCCCACATTGTGCGTCAAACAGGGGCATATTTGTGTCAAACAAGGAATCTAAATGTAATATATTTTGTTGGATTAAAGAAATTAATCCCTTGTTTGAGCCCCTTTTTTTTGGGAAGAATGAATATTTAAATAGTGTATTGATGGGAAATGTGTGGTTAAAAAATAAGGAAAAATTTTGAATTTGCGTGTAATATTATTTTATTGAAGAATGTGTGATTAAAATGATGTCAAAACACTGTTCAAAAATGATTTTTTTTTTCAAAAAAAAAGGCTCAAACAAGGGCTAAGATTGCATCTAACAGCTGTTCGTGCATGTGAAATTGTTGCCCTCCATTTTTTATTAGTAAAAAAATTCAATTGCTCAGTTGGTTAACCCAAAAGATTATTTTTTTTATGATACGAAGCCCGCAGAGTCAAATAAGGATTTAAGTTGAAAATAAGATTTTCACGGGGACTATTATAAGCAAGTGGTATTTGTTGGGATTAATTGGTAATTATAGAAACAAAAAGGTAAGTTAAGTTTTGAGTGAAATTGAAACATAAGGGTTAAATTACAAACTAAGGCAAATTGGAGGGCCTCACTAATAATTATTTCATTAGTTTACCATTTATTAACTTGAGAGAGACATAGAAAGAGAAAGAGAGAGGAAGAGTGAGAAGGAAAGAAAAGAAGGAATAGAGAAGGGAAGAGCAGAGAGAAGGGAAAGCAAAGTCATTCATCAATTTCTACAAGTAAGCAATGGTATCAGATCTTAGGGTTTATTTGAGGTATTTAAGAATATTATTGCAAAGAAAAATGCATATGGATTTGTAAACTAGAGCTTCCATCTTTAAATTTATTATGTGTATACCCGATATCAAACACTAGATTTATGATGTATCAGAGTGAGATAAGGATTTGAGGTTTGATTTTAGTATTTCTAACTCATTTCTGTGCAAAATTCATATACTGGTGCTACTGTTGAAATTCTGCCCAGAAACTGCTCTTTTTGTCAATAATTTTGGAGATAGTGAAATTGGTGCCAGCTTTCAATATTCTGGAAATTTAGTGCTAGTTTTGTCTATTTTTTTTTATTAAATTCATTATAGTCAAATATCAAAGTCTGCCTTGACGGTGGGTCCAGCGCATCGATCATCGATGCACCTCCATTAGAGTGATTCGTGACGGGTTGTCTTAGTGTAAATGCAATTGAAATTGTTCGGTCATCAATTCTATATAAATCACTCCTTTTTTCACAAGTCATGCTGCTTTTACAAAGTTGGTTGACAAAGTTAGTTTACAAAACAATATATATACCAATCATTTCAGATATACTTTTTCAAATCATTTGAAATCAAATGCCACGATTTTGTGAACTAGTTTTCTACAACTAGATTAATTGTTTTTTTGATCTATATACTAATATTTCGTTTTTATTGTTTTTATTGTTCCTTTTTTTTTTTTGCATTAGGTTTCAAAGAGGTATTGATATACAGTGTTGAAAATTATGAAGGTTGAGGTTGTGAGCAGAAAGATTATAAAACCAAGCACACCAACTCTCGATAATCTCCGTACATACAAGATATCATGCGCTTAGTCCAACTATGTACGTGGTTGGACTTCTTTACCATCCATCAAGTGATAACATTGGAAATGTAAACAATTTGGAAAAATCACTGGCTCCAATATTGCCACAATTTTATCCTTTTGCTGGAAGATATATCAAGGAGAATCAATCCGTCGATTGTAGCGACCAAGGTGCTGAATATGTAGAAGCTAAAGTCGATTGCGATCTTCTTGATATTATAGGCTCAGAAGTCCAGCCTATGGAGTTAAATGATCTTCTTCCGGTCGAAGTTGGTGCAGCTGATGAAGCCTCAGATCCAATTCTGTCGATTCAAATAAGCAAATTTAAATGTGGTGGAGTAACTATTGCTACGGCCATTTCACATAGGGTTATCGACACATCCTCACTAGGCACATTCTTATCTGCATGGGCAAAGGCGATTAGAGGAGACAATAGTACTGAACCCATTATTCCAAAATTTGACTCTCCATTGAACTTTCTGCAGGTTGAGAATTTAGGTGAGATTGATTCTGAAACCTCAAGGACTAGGGATCCTACCTTTGTGACTAAGAGGATTTTGTTCAGTAAGAAGGAGATAGCAAATTTAAGAGCCAGGGTGAGTCACTTGTATGGAAAAAGTGATCGTCCACCCTCGAGGGTTCTGGTTGTCTCTTCTTTTTTGTCGGAGGCTCTCATGCGCTGTGATCGCGTAAAACATGGGAAATCGCGGGCTTGCCTCATAGCGTAAGCAATTAACTTTCGTGAAAGAACAGTTCCACCTCTGTCGAAATATTCTTGTGGAAACTTAGCATCTCAGGGATTGGTAGAATGCAGTGCAGAGGAAACCAAGAGCTTAGACTTTGAACACTTGGTTCCTTTATTGAGTAATACTATCGAGAAAGCCGTTTTAGACTGTTCCAAGATCTTGTCAAATGCCGAGGATGCACGCAAATTCCTCTTCGATGCCGTTGCAGGTGCAATTGAAAAGCTACTTGATGGAAACTTGAATTCTATATGGTTTATGTTGGAAAAATGGTTATGAAATGGGTCAACTTTAAGCCCAAATTTCAGTGGAACCCACCTTTTAATTAATATGGGACCTAGCATATTCACGTTCTACTCTGCAAGATGATTAACGTGATATATTTATTTGTCGAAAATCATTTAAAATAGAATGAAATATTAAGTGTTAAAGTAACCCACATAAACTAAGTATTATGGAAGAATTTGATTTTCCAAATACTTATCCCACATAGGAAAGTTAGGAAACTTGGGTTTGGAATTTTGGTGTGGTTTATAAGGTGGAAGTTTGGAATTGGATTGGGCCCCAAGGGGTACTAATAGTCTTTGGAAGGGGGAAAACCTATATCCTATTGGGTTCGGTCATAAACCTACACGCGCGCACCGCCGCCATCCGTCCGACCGGCCGGCACGAGCACGTGCCCGTGTCCGAGTCCGAGTTCAATCCGGTTCGGGTGCTGGTGGACCTTTGCATTATATTAACTTTTTTGGACAAAATTTATTTAAAATTTTGGGTCAAATTGTAAATAATCAAATTCTTGGGTACATTATGAAATTTAAATTTTGACTTATTCCGGGTGTTTTTTTTCTTTTAACAGTCATCTGTTTACCGACCAAACAGTCGACTGTTAGCCGACGGTTAACCGACTTAACAGACGCGACTTTTAAGAACAGCATGTCTGTTCGGATTTTTGAGGTTTGTCTGAAAGGTGATGACTGTTCGAATGACCACAAACAAGTCTATAAATAGCCTGCCTCTCCACCAGAATTCATTGCAAACTTTCTGTGCTTTGAATTTCATTCCCTCTTTCTCGTTCTGATATTGTCTTGAAGTAAAACATACTTTGTTGAGTTCGTTGGAACTCCTGCAGATTACAGTGCTGCTTCTGTAGGAGACGAAAATTCGTTCGATCCTGGAAAACGATTGCTGGACGCCTTTAGCACCATTGAAGGCAGCAAATTCGTTTTAAG